ATGTTCTCTCTCTCTCTCTCTCTCTCTCTCTCTCTCTCTCTCTCTCTCTTTCTCGGGAACAACGATCCTTTGGATTATTTGGATTATTTTAATTATTTATTTCAAATTGTCGTTGTATCCTGCACTCGTTAAAGAGACGAGGATGGCGGAAGGGATTTTCGTTTCGGCGGGAACACGGCCAATGACGAATCGGATATTGTGTTTCAGGTGAGCTGATCCTGTGGGAGGACTATCAAAGATTCGAGGCCGCGGCAATCGGCGAAACGAGGCAGTTTCGTTCGGGGAGGTGCTCCTCGTCGTACGAGGCGAATTATTTCGGCCCTGGCCGCAAGCATGGCCGGGTGTTCAGGAACAAAAGCATGGATCCTCTAGGGGACAGATACAAGTGCTCGAAATGCTCGAAATCGTATCGTTGGAAGCACCATTTGATGGAGCACGTAAAGGCATCGTGCGGCCAGAAGAAGGCCGAGTGCTGCCCTTACTGTAGTTACAGGAGCAATCGAAAGTGGAATCTCAAGTCTCATATGAAGAGGATTCACGCGGACGTATAAAATTATAGAAATTCCCCACGTTTTTTTTCTTTTTTCTTTTTTTTTTTTTTTTTCTTCGGTGTCGTTTCCGCTCTCCGTTGATATTTTCAACCAGGATCCACGAAAAATTAACCATAATATATAAAGTGGGTCGTTGCTTGGCAACGTCTCCAACCATTCTTTCGTGTCGTTTTTTTCGACCATTTGCCTCCGTTTTTCAACCTTCTCTATCTCTCTCCCCCCTCTCTCTCTTTTTCTCTCTCTCTCTCTCTCTCTTTCTCTCTCTCCGTTTCCACGTTTCTCTTTCATCCTCGACGATGAAGAGATGATTGCCCATTTCTCGCGCAATGTTCAATTCTTTCTCGAAGGTACGTCGACGTCGATCGTGTTTCTTCTTATCTTGTATAATCTTTATCCTCTGTTTGTTGTTCTTCCATCCTTTCTTTACGACTTTTTTCTCTTTCTCTCTTTCTCTGTCCATCCGTCGAGCGAGTTTTTTTTCCATCGTACGAATATATATTTTCTTTTTATTTACTTTGCGCATTTCTCTCTCTCTCTCTCTCTCTCTCTTCTGTCCTATTCATAAATTGGGAAATCGAAAAGGAGGTGTAAAGGAGGAAAGGATAAGAATTGAATTTGATTTTTTTTCTTTTCTCTCTGTCTCTTTCTCTTTTTTCTCTTTTTCTCTCTCTCTCTCTCTCTCTCGTTTAAGGTTGACGAAGATTGTTATCGTAGCGTGGATTTAATATATATTTTTTATTTTTATTTTTACAGTTGAGTTTAATTAATTGTTACAGGACGACGGCATTACAATGGCGGGAGACCGAGGCCTAGGGAGCTCGAATTCG